CATTAAAAATAAAAATACAATATAATAATAAAAAAAAAGCTAAAAATAATATAAATAAAATAAAATAACAAAAAAAAATAATAAAATCATGATTAAAATATTAGTTTACTATAATAAATCAATTTTACAAAAAATAGAGATGTCGTGATTATATATTAGTTTACACGAAAATGTTGGGTTTACTGACACATCTTTACCAGAAAATTTTCTCACCATCATACATCGAATTTCGACGAAATGTTGATATTATATAAGTATAGCTCCGTTATACAGCGCTCTGGAGATGTCGCCATGCGTTTGGGGCGGCTCGAACTCGATTCTTGATATCTGGAGCATTTGAAGATGAAAATAGTCAAAAGCTCAACAACCTCTATTCTTAGTTTTACAAAGATGTTTCTGTGCGTGAAAAGCTAGATCAAAATTCAAAATTTCAGTTCTATTAGCCTTTTTCTGAATCAAATTGACTGAAAATTACTAGCTATCAAAGTTTTTTGACGACACACTTTTGTAGAGAAAACATTATTCTACAAAATGAGATGTGACACAACCATTCATCTTTTTTTTGTCTGCAAGAGTCGCTTCTCTACGAAAAGCCCTAAACTGGTGTTAACCGACCAGTAACAGTATCGGTACCGATCACGCGACGTTGGCAAACATCTTTTATCTGAGTATTCAAGCTAGAAAGTGCTATTATACCTTATTCTATAAAGAAATTTTTGTTTTACAAGACTGAGTCATCAAAAAACTTTTAAAAGATCATTTTGCGGTACTAAAAATTTTATGTGAAAAAGACGAGAAATTGCGACCGGTAAATACTGATGCATGCATCTGATGAACTTGCGAAACTACTTTTTGTTTATTTTTCTCACATCACTTTCAGGAGTTTGTTCAAAAGCTTTGGAAAGAGAGAAGAAAAATTATGTTAAAAAGAGAACACGGTTGACTATCACATGATGCACGTTTGCAAAAATCAGTATTTGTGACATACGACATCATTTTTGATATATAGAAGAATCTTAATTTCTCATTTATTTGGTCAGTTATATATGAATAATATAAAAGTTCAATTATCAAAGTGTGTTATCCATTTTTTCTTTTCTCTCTCTCCCTCGAACAATCCGTATATCTTTTTAAAATCTTTGAGAAAAGTAAATTTTGATCATCAAATATGAGCAAAAATATCCTTCTAAAATAAATTTATGACGAAGTTATGTTCACCAACATTGAATTTATTCTACAGTGCTTTTTAGAAGCTTTTCTACATATTGCACTTATGAAGTAAAACAGCTGGTTAACTCTCACATCATAATGAATCATTCATCTTATGATTCATTTATGCGATCAGAATTGTTTTTTGACGAAAAAAAATTTTATATTCACATATATTTCTATTAGATAGATATTTTATTTTATTTTGAAACATGATCCTATAGGAACTATCTCCTGTCTTCAATGGAAATTAAAATATTACTCAAAATTTTCAAAGTAAAATGTATTCTTTACAAGTATGCAGTTTATGGATGTTCTATTTCGAGACGATGTACTCTGTGAATTTTATATCCGACTTTTTGGTGACGATATAGTTTCAGGAATTATCGTGAAAGGGTGAACATGTTTTGAGTCCGACTAAATCCAATCATCGTTTGTAAGTATCTTTGTACAGTAGAGTATTATTTGTCCATTGGTAAAGGTTCATCGACAATAACTACGTGAGTCTAGAATGACCACGATTTTAATCACCGAGATATTTTTCTAATGTCATATATTGTAGACGAGAACAATAAAGATTGTTGATGCAATCAATATGTTTCAAAGAACGTACGTCTACTTCTTTAGATTGACAGTAATGATATAAGAATTGGTAAGAAAAATGTCTAATGAACGTGTGAGAAAGTAAATACTATTTTGAACAGAGAAAGAAGAAAAATTGTATACCGTATTATCAAATTTTAAATATTATTATTATTATCAGTTTAATATTTGAATTATTTTCAAAAGTGTAAGAATGTTGAACAATTTTACATCAAAAGTACGTATAATTAGATTAATTCCTATGTGTTAAATGAGACCATGCACATTGCTGGATGAAGAGTTTGTTGATTTACGTTAAGTTCTGACTTCTACTTACTAAAATAGGTTTCTAACATGGAAAATCTTAAATCGAAAAAGTTTTACTTTCCGATTAAAAAGCAAATCGAAACTACTTTTAGTAACGCCAGGAAATAGAGCAAACATTTCTGATCAAAATGAGATATTTCCCAGGTCTGTCTGGGTTCTCCACAACGTTTCGTTACTGAGAAATCTGGCAGCTATGAACAGCCCCATTTTGGTCACTGTTGTGGAAACATCTCATAAACCATGCACGATGAAGCCAAACAAAAAATTTCGTCGCAAGATCAGCATCTCCTAAAAGTTCAATTCATCATCCTAAAATATCAATTTCGGACTTCTGCTTATCAAAATAGGTTTTTAACAAGGAAAACCTTAAAAAAGAAAACAAATAACACTGTCCAGGATAAAATTTATTAACAAATCAACCGTATGGATGTTAGAAATAGACAGAAATGAAATGATTTCTTCTTTAGACCAAATTAATCTATGTTAGAGCGTTTGTTTTATAATCTCATATTTCGTTTGTTAAATACTCAAGCAAAAAATATTTAGTAAAAAAATATTTAGAAAAAGCATGGATTTAGTTAGGTTTTTGAATAACTTTTGATAGAAAAAGATACAGAATTGAAGCCAAAGAAGTTGAAATACAAATCTATGGATTTGTTTTACAAGAGTAGATAGTCCAATGTGTCCTCTTCGAAATGAAAGTTAAACAGCCTTCTGATTTATCATCGTTTAAGCGTCACATTTGATTTCCTAAACGTACCGAAATGTGTAATTTATCTCAAAACAAATATTGCGACGAGACTCAGCATGATCGATTATCCATAGTTCAAACGTCTTCAAGGGCATCAATAGTCACCGGATGCCAGTCCTGGAACTTGTAGAAATGCGATACAACACGAAAATCAAGGTCTTGCTTGACTCCTGCTTTGAAGAAGACCCTCCGTGCTATCGACCCATCAAAAAAAAATTAAAACAATCCTATCCGAAAACGTTTACACGCGATCTTGTTTTCCAAAGACCTCGTGGAGAACCCGTTTCAGAAAACTGTTCTGAAAAACTTTTGGTTACGAAAACATGTCTTCAAGTCTCCGCTTTCGAATGGTGAAAACCACAACTTTTTATCTCCTTTCGTTCTTGAGTTATTTAAAAAATAGTTACGTGTCTTATTTTTTTAACAGACAGCAGTAAGGTACCGATTTGGCGCTATTTTCACTGAATATTGAAAAATTCATAAATCATCGCGACTTCTTGGGTTTTCACGCGACTTTACAAATATCTACTAGAAAGCTTCATTGAAAAACTGATTCAAAACGTAGTTTACTTACGAAAAGATGCCTTCAAGTCTTCTCTTAAAAATGACGAAAGCTGCAGCTCTACACTTCCTGTTTCCGTAAATCAATCCATATTATTCATTCATATGTTTGCTCGTACAATCACTTTACAATTATTAATTTCTATATACTTGTACAAGAAAATGTAGAGAATTCCATGAGAGAGAGAAATGTCTATTTCATGGACAATACAATAGTCGATAAACTGCTGTGATACCGATAGTAACTGCTTTCTGTTAAGCATATCTTGTACGAAAAGATTATAAATATAAGACTGATAAATATATTTTGTAATAGACCTAAAGCTGGTACTTACTATATGAAATACTAATTTTCTTTCTAGTTTCGTCGACAAAATCGAACTACACCTAATACGTCGGTAGTTGAACAAAGTGCGAAGGATGAGGTAATAGTTTAGAATAGGTTACATTTGTACAGCAGTAGTAAAGATTTTAATGAAAGATTTTCTTTTATATTTTAGGGAGACAGTGATGAATGGGATCGTCCTATCGAATTTGTCTTTTCACTGATCAGTAACTCCGTAGGTCTAGGAAATGTTTGGCGATTTCCGTTTTTAGCTGCAAATAATGGTGGTGGTATGTTATTTTTTTTCATCTTCTAGTCAGATATTTGTGTGCGTTTTTATTTCCAGGTGCATTTTTGATACCCTATTTTATATTATATTTTTTAATTGGTGCACCATTGTATTATCTTGAATTAGCATTAGGTCAATTTTCCAGTCGTGGACCAGCTAAAGTTTTTATGCTCTCTAAAGGATGGCAAGGTATTGGCTTTGCAATGATCATTAATTCGGTGTTCACAATGCTCTATTATAATGTGGTTATTAGTTGGGCATTATTTTATTTCATTTTATCATTTCGAAAAAGATTATTATGGGCTGACTGCGACAATTGGTGGAATACATGTGATTGTTTTGTACCAGGTATGTACAATAGAACGAATTTCATCGAGGTTTAAATTTTTTAAGGATGTTTTCAGATAATTCAATCTCGACAAAAAAATTCATTCTTTTCCATTTTTACCATACATTAGACTGAAATAATTATGGATACTTTTCTAGGTGGTACTGGTCGTCCACAGAGTTGTCCGGATCCTAAAAATTATGATCAAAATATGACAATGAATGTGA